CAGTCATTCCATGTGCTTCCATGGTATCCAGAGCAAGAATCTCTGGGTGATGCCAGATGACCCAGTTCCACACAGACGTCATGGAGGGAGCAGGTGGGTGCCTTAAATCATCAATGTACCAGGCACTGACCATGATGCAATGACCAGAGCAGATGCAAAAGCTTGTCTCTTGTGCTTCCATATTGTGAAGGCCACACAGTCACCCTGGAGAACTGACCAGGTACTACCCACCTTAATGTGAGTATCCCTAATTCTTGGCCTCTGTACACATGGACATAAAATAGGGGAAGGAGAGACAAGTGAAGGCACACAGAATGGGGCGATGCATCCATATATGAACTGAAGGTGGAGGAAAGGCAGGCAGGAAGCACTCCCACTGTCCACTCACTTTTCAGATAGTTATAGAGCAGCACCCTGTTGAGCCCCCATGATTAAAGTAACACTGCAGACTGCACTCTCTTTCTCACAGAGGCAATATGCCACAAGGGTGATAAACGGAGTTGCATTTCAGGCTTCCTGAAGAGGGGAGGACAGGTGGTCATAGCACTATCCAGGGAACTCAGTCATCAAGTGAGGGCTGATTATGGTTAGTGCACAGGATACACTGGGAGGGCAGTTTGGGAGGGAGGCCAGACCTGTAGTGCTGCTTACAACTGTCCTCCTCAGGATCAGAGTTTCCCTTCTTGGCTCTTGACAGGTGCTGCTGAGGAAGGTGGGACAACCAGCCCAACCAAATATGATTGAGTTGGGCCAAGCCTAGCTCACTGAAAATGAGAACTACAGTGAGAAGGAATTTGCCTGGGTCTGTTGGTTTCTGAGGAGGACATGGGACACTTTAGAGGGAGAAGGACTGTCAGACATGGGGCCTCCTGCAACACAGAGGTATGCAGAAGTGAGTGGAGTGAGGCAAAATAGGAAGTTTTCCTGGGGTGCATTAGTGCACCGAGCTGTCCCTGACAGGCCCTGAGAGGCTATGGGGCTTTCAAGGAGCAAGGACAGTTTGGGATTTTTCTAAGGCAGGGCTGGTACCGGACTGAGCTCAAGGTCCCCTTATAGATCTTGTGCCAGCCTCACCTACAATGACCTCACCAGCTCTGGGATCAACCTGAAAATCAAGGTCAGATACCCAGTCTGGTGGAATTCCAAGGCAGGTCTGTCACTGGCTCCATGGCAGTGTCCTCAGCTCCACTTAGGGCTCAAGTCTTGCAAAGTACCAGCCCTTCATTTCCCGTTCACTTTGCCTCTTCTATTTTTCTCAGTTTTCATTTCTAATCTTAAATCTATAGTTCTTTGAAACATTAAATTCTAAGATAATTTAATTTTAAGTTAAGATTTCATTAGTTTCCACATGTTCAGTTGAGTCACAGGTAAGCACATTGTCAATTGGCACAATCTAAATCTGTACATCTGTCTAGTTCCAGCTTTCTGCTCAGTATTGGACCCATCCATACCCATGGTCTCTCCTGCTAGTCCCCACCCACCGCTGACCTTTCTCTCACTGTGATTTACTAACCTGGGTTTTTCATATCAGTGCATCAGATTCTGTTTGGCCAAACATTCCTGAAGGAGACTGGATGCTATTGCTGTTTGACAGAAGAGAAAACCACAGATAGACAAAATCTGCAGGGAAAATGTAGAGACCATTGTGTATGTACTCATCTTTTCATGTCGGAAAATGTTTTCCATGATTTCAGTGATATAAAGGGAGCTACAAACGGCTGATTCATTGCATTTGAAAAACGACAATAATGCAAAAATCACAACAGGAAACCTTTCTTTACAACCAGTAGTCAGATAGATGGTTTTTATTACAAGTATGAAAGAGGTCTCATGAGTCCATTTTGTGAGGGAAATGATAAATTCTTCTAACTCAAAGGGAATCACCAGGGCAAACAAGCACACAAAACACTGAGCCTCCTAAACCTGATACATGCAGGCACACATCCCTGAAATGTGCTGTTTCCCCAACCACTGACACATTTTAAGGCAGATGCTGAACAACAACGGGAAGGACATGGGGGGCAGAGCACAGCCCAATCTCGTAGCTCCCATCCAAACTCTAAACAGCCTTCCCTAGAACTCCTAGGACTAAGAATAGAGTTTTCTCCCACCCAGAATGTTGCACAAATATTCAAGAGTTTAATTCACATTACTCTTTGAAGCAGGAATGAACTGGGACCCTTGCTAGCCTCCACGTAGAGTGTGCACAGAAGAGTTGTCTGGAGGATGCTGTTCACTGCAGCTGGGGGGAAACTTGCCCTGGCCCCAGGGCCACAGAGCTTCAGGATTAAGGATGACAAACTCATGGCATGAAAATGTTTTCCCTGGGCGAGCCAGTGCACTGGGCATCTCTACAGCAATCCAGTGCCTCCCAAAGCCAGGGACAGCACTGGGAAAGGGCATTTGGATGCCTTAGGGTTTAATTTAATTTTTTGCTGTGTTCTGATTGTTTGCTCTATTTAATATTATCTTTGACAGGTTTTAAAATGTTCTGTGTTTGTTTGGATTTCACTATAACTAATTGAATGGAAACAAATTGTGAAGATAATGAGATATACTATGGTACCTATTACTGTTATCATGGACCCTGCTGTGAAGATCTGTACCAATTTCACTGCATTGTCTCAATTTTCTTTGTTCTGTTCGCTCTGTTGTATTTTGCTATCTTCAAAATAAAATTTTGAAAAAGAATAAATACTAATTATTTTCATGTCTTTCAAGGGGAGGGAACCACCACCAATTCCTTTTAGATGACAAAGTCACCCTGATAATGAAACCAGACCATACTGCATTAAAAAATTTGTAATGCTCTAATGGCTGATATTCTTAATGAACATACACGAAAATATTCAACAAATGCACATCAGCTAAATTCACCAGCACATGAAAATTTTAAATACCACAATGAACACTGAGTTCACCCTCAGTGGTGCTAGAATGGTTCCACTTGAACAAATCATTCAGTGTCACTTGCCACATTCACAGCATGAGGCACAGCTACCCCCTCAAGAGATTTGGAAAAATCACTTAGAGAAATTCAAAAGTTCACCATCCTTTCATGATAAAAACCATTCACACACCATGTGCAGGAGGAATAAATCTTAGCACAGCAAAGTACAGACATGACAAGCCCAGCACTGACATCATGCTCAGAGACTGACAAGCTGCTAGATTTGCTTCTCAGGTCAGGAACAAGACCAAGCTTTGGACTCTTTTCAACACACTACTTCAAGTCCTACTCCTAGAATTTAGTCAACAATAAGAACCCGAAAGTTTACCAAATCAGAAAGGAAGAATTAAGAGATGTCTATGAGTAGACAGACCAAAACAAAATATAACCAAACTAAACCAAGCAACAAGACTACTGTAGCTTTTAAATCCTGATACACTTTTAACTATGTTCTCTGCCTCCTTTTTTTAGGCAATTCCTCACCTTTCTCCTTCTCAGGATACTATTATTCACTGTTCAGAGTGATATTAGTCTAGTCTCTTATGTTCCATTTCAGCATACATAAAGATAAAGACAGCTACTACAAAGACAATGAGAGACATTATGGTAGTCATTATCGACTTCCCCAAAACCAGTCTTGAAGATCGAAAAAGCTTGCATCATCCTGTAATTATTTGATTAGTTCTATAATATTCAGTATATATTCAATGTGTGTGAGGATGGGAACAACTATTTGGAAGAAAACTAGAGACAGTAAGAAAGACAGTGAACATTTCCAGTGGACTTGCTTTGATAGCTGTGTTTCCTTAACTTTTTTTCCTTATGAACTGTTTTGCTCTGTTTCGCTATGTTTAATCTTACCTTCTTTAAGAAAAAAAAAGTGTGTAGGACAGATAGGCATATTAAAACTTTTTGGTGGATCGTTGAGGTGAACCGTGACAGTGTCATTATTTGAATATCACTTTGTATGCTTTAAATTTGTAACTTGAACAACTATTTCTAAGATGACAATATGATACTAATCAACTATTGATTTCTTATTGTTTTCTGAAAATCTGTATTATTTCTACACTTTTTTTTCTCTTTAAATAAACAACATTACAATTCACCAGAAAATACAAAATTTAAGTTTTAACTACAAAATATTAAGTACACAGGCACTATCCATACTTGAAAGTGAAAAGCCCATTTCAGTTAAGCATGTTTAATTACAAGATGCCATGTTGAAGCACAAAAACATCTAGATTAATAAATCTAGAGAGGTACAAGTGATTAACTGAAAACCATACAACATGTGCACCTAAGGAGAGCCGCACCACAGATTTGTCATTTCTGGAATATTTGTGAAGAAATATTGACATCTAACTTCTGTATCGATTATTTCTTCAGGTCTCCTTGGGATTTTTAAAGTAAACTTAGATCTAAACTGTCTGAACAGTGATGCTTTTTCTATGTATTTAACAAGAAACATGGATTGCTATATTTCTCACATTGGTAATCCACATATCATCTCTGCCTAGTGAGCTCTTTCAGATATGTAACAATGATCAAGTATGCTGAGAGTATTCCCATAACACATAGGATTTATCTCTTGTGTGAGTATTTTTCATGTATTTCCCTTACAATCTGGCTGCTGAAAGTGTCTCCACTTGCTTACATAGCCAGTGGTTCTTCCCAGTGTGAATTCTTTCATCTGTTTTGCAATGACTATATGCAGTAAAAGCTTTGCCACATTGTTATATACATAGGCTTTCTCACCAGTGTGAAGTCATAGATGTATTTTACAAAATCCATGTGTGGTGAAAGCTTTCCCACATTCTTCACATACACACAGGGTTTCTCAACCATGTAAATTTTATAATGTATTGGACAATGAGCATTTCTGCTGAAACCTTTCCCACATTCCTTACATATGTAAGTTTTCTGCCCTGTGTGAAGATTTTCATGCATTATGCAACATGTGCTGAAACCATTCTCATGATGCCTATATACACTGGTTTTATATTGAATGTGAACTTTCATGTTTCTTACAATCTCCCTGTGTTTTAAAACCTTTCCCACATTGCTTACACACATATGGTTTCTCTCCAGTGTGAATTTTTTCATGAACCTTACAATTTGTATGTGTGTTAAAAGCTTTCCCACATTGCTTACATACATAGGGTTTCTCTCCAGTGTGAATTCTTTCATGTTCCTTACAACGTCCAGGTCTGGTAAAAGCTTTCCCACATTGCTTACATACATAGGGTTTCTCTCCAGTATGAATACTTTCATGAACCTTACAATTTGCACGTGTTTTAAAAGCTTTCCCACACTGCTTACATACATAGGGTTTCTCTCCAGTGTGAATTCTTTCATGATTTTTACAATCTCCCTGTGTGTTAAAAGCTTTCCCACATTGCTTACATACATAGGGTTTCTCTCCAGTGTGAATTCTTTCATGAACCTTATAACTTGCACGCATGTTAAAAGCTTTCCCACATTGCTTACATACATATGGTTTATCTCCAGTGTGAATTCTTTCATGTTGCTTACAACATCCAGGTCTGGTAAAAGCTTTCCCACATTGCTTACATACATAGGGTTTCTCTCCAGTGTGAATTCTTTCATGAACCTTACAATTTGCACGTGTGTTAAAAGCTTTCCCACATTGCTTACATACATATGGTTTCTCTCCAGTGTGAATTCTTTCATGTTCCTTACAACGTCCAGGTCTGGTAAAAGCTTTCCCACATTGCTTACATACATAGGGTTTCTCTCCAGTATGAATACTTTCATGAAACTTACAATTTGCACGTGTTTTAAAAGCTTTCCCACATTGCTTACATACATAGGGTTTCTCTCCAGTGTGAATTCTTTCATGATTGTTACAATCTCCCTGTGTGTTAAAAGCTTTCCCACATTGCTTACATACATAGGGTTTCTCTCCAGTGTGAATTCTTTCATGAACCTTATAACTTGCACGCATGTTAAAAGCTTTCCCACATTGCTTACATACATATGGTTTATCTCCAGTGTGAATTCTTTCATGTTGCTTACAACATTCAGGTCTGGTAAAAGCTTTCCCACATTGCTTACATACATAGGGTTTCTCTCCAGTGTGAATTCTTTCATGAACCTTATAACTTGCACGCATGTTAAAAGCTTTCCCACATTGCTTACATACATATGGTTTCTCTCCAGTGTGAATTCTTTCATGTTCCTTACAACGTCCAGGTCTGGTAAAAGCTTTCCCACATTGCTTACATACATAGGGTTTCTCTCCACTGCAATATTTTTCATGGATCTGACCATCGTGGTGTGTTTCTGTTTCTTTCACATTCACATTACCTTCTGCAGTACAAAGGAATACTTCTTTACACTGCTTCCAAGATGTATGTCCATAAGATTTCCCTAGCTTGTCATTTCTGGAAAGAAAAAATCACATATAGAATTTATAACCATATTACTAAGCTTTTTTCGAGAGTTGAACAAAACTGTTTGCAGTCTCACTGTTTGAATCCCCACTTCATATGTTTCACTTTTGTATTTCATAACTATTTCTATGATCAGCATTTGTAATCATCATCTTGCTATTTGCTACTGTTTTTTTTTCACTTTGAAAGCAGTATTATTTCTACTTATTTTGTCTTATTTAATCTTTCCTTATATTAAATTTAAAAAAAGAAAAATTCACTGTGAAATTGGTCTCCATTTAATGGCTGCATTAATATCAAGTTCTGTTTTTAATGCCTGCTAAGAAATTCTGACCAAGAAGCAACAGAATGGCTTTGTAAGATATGTTGAAAACAACCATTCCCAAAAGACTGGTACACATTTGGAAATCTTAAAAGTTGGTACTTTGAAATGCAGAATCTTTAGCTTCACTTTGGGAATGGGTACATATGTGTATCATATGCAGATTATTCTCATATGTTTCCCCATCACAATCTCCCTTCTGTCCTTAACCTGTAGTTCCCTTCTCCATGTGGTCACTCTTACTTTTCTCTAACAACTCTGTTTCATTTCTTTCCACATTTTGTATTTTGGTTTCTCATCTAAAAGAAAGCCAGTGACCTTTTAGGTTTTATAGCTGAGTTATTACACTGAATTGATGGGTGAAAGACCCATCTAATTCTTATGGCAAATGACATTATATTATTTATTTTTTGACATTATATAACACATTTTTTCCATTCTGGGCTGGGAATGAGCAACAGATATTAGCATAAATCTATAGCTTTTTAAAAATCTATTTTAAGAGATTTTCATAGATCATTAAGCTGTGAAGTTTGAACTTGAAATTGCCATTCTGCAAAATCTGATTCTTAGTGTGCTGGGCTTACAAGAATGTAAAATCACAGAGAGTCTACTAAAATTTTCCTTCTCCACAAATCCAGTGATAGATAGATAAGCTTCAAGGCCTGATCTGTTATAACTTGATCTGCTTTGTATATGAGTAAGCATGTATCAGTATTTTATGCAGATTTTGAGATTTTAAAAATATCCAGGACAAGTATGAGGGGATCAATTCCTAGAGACAACTGCATACTGATATTCAAAATGAGTGCACTAATATTCCACCAGCCTACTAAGAATATTAGTCAGAATCGCCGATTGTCTAGAGCATGGCTTGGAAACATGAGCACTCAATTTTATTTCAAATTCTATTGCAATCTTAGCAATTGTTAGATAATGAATGTGTTGTATTCACATGTAAAAATGGGCAGAAAAGCTGAAGGCAGAATGTCATAACTCAAAGTGTATGTCTTTCGTACAAATCTATATGCAATATCATACATTTTCTTGATTTAATTCCCTCATATATACACTAGCTTATACATCTTTGGAGAATATTACTGACATTAAATTGAATGGTGCCTCATTTCTTTGGTGGTCATTTTTCTGCTGACTCACTAATTACTCAAGAACATTCCTCTCCTTGTGAGTGTGAATTACCTTAAGTATCTCCAGTAAATTTTGCATTCTTTTTCCGGTTCCTGGATATCCCCAAGTCCTCCTGAATTGTAGACATAGAAATATCAGGACTCAGTTGAGTAATACATACAAATTAATAGATTTTGTTTAGATTTATGATATAATGTGTCCAGGTCTGAGCTATTTTTAAAAATATTTTCATATTCTTTTTAACAAAACAGCACTAATGAGCAACAAACAATATTCTGACAGCATGAGTGCCAAAAAGATTTCATCCATACCTATTGCAGCCATGTTCCTAAAGATTTCACCCATCACATCTCTGTAGAGGTTCTTTTGGGATGGACTCAGCAAACTCCACTCCTCATTGCTGAAGTTCACAACCACATCCTCAAAGATCACCGCCTCCTAAAGGATCATACATATATTTCTCAAAGGAAGGTTGAGACACCAGGTTTGGGATATCTTAAATTCTCTCCTACAAATCTGAATCAAAAGCAAAGTGTGGTGGTGCATATCTACAATCCCAGCACTCAAAAGGCAAGACAGGAAGGCATCAGTGAGGTCAGGGCAATTCTAGGCTCTATAGGGTGTTCAAACCCAGCTGATATACATAGAGAAAGCTTGTCTCAATAAAACAAAACTAAACTCAACAAATAAAGCCAAACAAAACAGCTGAATGAAGACTGATTTGTTCAAATTTAAATCCATGTCTTGGTCATTAATTTTGTGTCTATATACATTTTTGAAGACAGCAAATTTGATACTAGATTGCAACTCACTGCTAATATAACAGCCAAATAGGAGCACTGATTCTTGTGCTGAGTCATGGCAAGATTCCCTGAGCTCTTTCTCTAAAGCAGAGCTCACAGTGAGAAGCCTGCAGGTCCAGCAACCACAAAGCACAGAGGCAGATAAATGTCTCATCAATTGCCTTGGAAGCCAAGCAAGCACCTCCCCTCCCTAGTCAGTGGTGGCAGTCTGGAAAACTGCAGCCCTTCCAGGGGGATAACCAGCAGCAGCTCCTAAGATCCGTTCTATGTTGGAACTTAGGGCGCTGTGAAACCAAACAACCAGCCTGTCTCCCTAATAAGCAACACTGAACCTACTGATGCACCACCTAGAATCAAACATCCCACTTCCCTACCCCTCTTCTCCTGTCACCCCACATTAGCAAATGGGAACCAGAAATCTGAGCATCTCCTGGGAAGTAGACCATAACAAATAAGGGGGACTTCCTTCTACTATCTCCTTGAAGGAAAATGTTTTTATTATTGTTTCTCTCTATTCTGATTAATGGTACTGCTCAATTCAATATTCTGTTTTGATAAGTTCTATAATGTTCTGCATTTCATCTCATTTTGATATATGTGATTAAAGAACAACTATGACAAAGATAACAAAATATACTGTGATACCTATTACTGTTATCCCAGTAACCTGTTGTGAAGTGGTGTACCAATTTCACTGTGTGATCTTAGTTGACCTTATGCTGCCTTGTTCTGTTCTATTTTACCAATTTCAAAATTAAATAAAAAATCTCAGTAATCACTTTGATAGACTACAGATGATGTCTGTTCAAATCTCATTTAGGCCAATGAGTACTTTGTTCTTAATATACTTAAGCAGCATTTTGAAACATGAATTTGGTTTCATAGAACAAAACATAAATAACATCAAATATGGTATATAAATTATAACTCAAGAGTTAGTGGAAAACAGCTGTATTTTAAAAATATGTATATAAAATGAAACCAGGCCCAAGCTATAAATTATACCTCACTGTCACCAAGTGATCACTTTCAATTCAAATATAAGAAATATATCTTGGGGGCTGGTGAAGGATTTCTTCCTTCAATTTGGGGCTTTCCTAAGTTACAGAGCTGTCTAAAATAGAAAACCCTGATTGAGACACCGAACAGATAAAGTGAAACTTAAAAAGAGACTGCATAACACAACTTTGGTTAGTTTTAAAAAAAATTATAGCGATACAATACAGAAAAATTCCAACAATATTCAACACTTTCTCAGAAACAATGTGGATATCGTCCATACTACACAGAAAACATTTCATAGTTGCGTATTTAGCTCAGTGTCATGAAAACCTGCCTGGAAAGCATAGGTCATGCGCTTGTTCCTTGGTACAAAAAAATTGAAAATTTCAGCTTCATGACAATGGGGCATAATTAGAGATAATCAAATTAGATCTCAAGTATGGAACACAAAAATTATGGGTTGACAGGGATATGGAATACTGATTGTTGCCAGAGCTGGTGTTGATCACCTCAATGAAGCAATCAGAATCCAACTTTACTTCACACTTACTCTAAGAACTACCTGACTTTCAGTGAAGACCCTCTCTGTTGTATGTCCTGCTATTTGCTGCCTGCATCCTGTCAGTCACTTCCACATCTTTTCCACACTCCTCTGATCCATCCTAAGCAGAAAACCGTTCATGCCTAACTATCGATATCACTGCAAAATATCTATTTAGGGCTTCTCATTTACACCACTTAGATAAGTCCATTGTAGAGAAGTTCCATATTTAAACTGTCTATGCAAATGTGAAAATTTTGGCATATTTCGATGAGAATTTAACAGGTAGCCCTTTCTGGAATTTGTCCTTCACAAATTTTTACCCTGTCCTTGATAACACTTTCATATTTACTTCATTTTTCTCAGACTTCAAAACTCTATGGCTGTTCTCATGAACCTAGTCTGTAAGCAGGGGTGACACCTAAATAGTTAAGTATGTTCAGAAATTGTTTTACACTGATCTGTATAATACACAGGAGTTCACCGGTTGTTTGGGAAGCCTTTCTCCACTGAGGCACAGTACTACATATCTCTGAATTTTCAGACCTTTGTCACTACCTGTCATGAGGATGGAAATAGGAGAACATACTATAAATTTAGGAGATCACTATAAATACAAAAAAGCCCAAGTTTAAGTTGAGCCATTGTGGATATGAGGCCTTGCATTACATACATTAATAAACTCTGGACATTCCAGATCTGTTACTCTGCAGAAAGAGAGATAGACCTAGATCATTACTGCTCTACAAGCTACAAAAGCATCATAGTCAGGGTCTTCCCAAGCTCCGCCCAATGACTAAGATGGTGGAATTACCAGGCTAGCAGTGAATTCCAAAGATGATACTTGAGTCTGCTGCTGTCATAGTGAAGCCAGGGTTCTGGGGACCCCAAATTACCCTTGCCAACAGCAAGAGGCAAAAGGGATAGTGAATGACCCATGGCCAAAGCTGGAGGACCTCA